GGGGGGGGGGGGGGGGGATGCGTTTGAGAGTGTGGGTGGGACGAAGCTGAGATTCGTGTGGACAGGGAACGCTCGTTAGATTGCGTTTGGAACACCATGGCCTTTGTCGTCGAGAACATGACTTAGCTCAAGGTTTTGGTGCATGACGTTGGTGTATTTATCATCCCATCTTGAACTCTTAATCTTGTGTAGGCGAAAAGAAGCCAGCACGCTCCGCAACAAGATAGCAAGAAGATGCCTTGTCTTGTTTTGCCGACAAAATGCTGGAGGCGTGGTGTTGCTTGGCTGCGACCGCGGATATGACTTATGGGACAGGGCAGCATGGCGAGGGCTGGCGGTTGCACCAGGAAGAGGTACACGAATTTAGCCGAATGGGAATTGTTTAGGTACGCGTCGCAATTGGGTGCTGTCCGTGTTTACTTCCGTCGAGGCGCGTGCCGATATGCTCTTCGATTGAACGCAGTCAGGGGGGAGTTGAGTGTGTGGTGACAGAACGGTCGTCATGAGAAGGAAACGCGTGTACTTGAAGTGTTTCTTTTCTTGGTGTCTGGGTGTCGTCGCTAGGCCGTTGGCAGTGTCAGCCATGACCGGACTGGCATGGATAGACGAAGAGCACGAAGAGTATCGCTTTCGTCCAGAGATGCTTTCAGACGCTGATTTGGGGGGCGCCGTTTGATGCAGATCGGAGGAGGGGGGTGGGGGGTTGTGGTCCACGCATGCACAGCAGTTGGCAGGCGCACGTTACCGTCCAGCGCGAAACGCATGAATTTGATGGGATGTTGGTTCGGTGCTCCTCCTCGATTCGGAAGCACTCGTTGGTTGTTCGTTTTTATTTGCCACGGCGTGTACCCCGTTGTGTCGTGTATTTACCGTTTTCCCTTGTTTGTTTTTGTCGTTGTCTCTTTTTGTCCCCCGTGCGTGAAGAAGGTGCCATGATGACGGTGCCCAAGCTTTCCCGTGTGTGTACATTGTTGTGTTACATTGCCCTTTTCTCTCTGGTCTACGGTTCGCCCGTTCGACGTAATCGTCCCTCTCTACAAAACGGTTTACCGTCCGACGGCAGGCACTCTGTAGCGCGCGGCAATACGAGTCATTTGCCGATCATCATTCCACAAGATCCAATTGTCCCTTTTCCCCCCGTCCCCCCCATGCCACACGCGCCCACCGCTCGCTGCTGCTCCCGGTTGTATATGGCCAAATAGAAAGGTGTTTCTGGTCTTGTGTTCTTTCGAGGTGTCTTACTTGAGGGGTTCTGGGGCCCCTGGTACATTCTGTTTGACAGGGAATAGATGAAGGGGCTTTCTGTTGGTGTAGACTAGTGTGCATGTTCCCTTGTTTTGGCGTCGACTACGCTTTGCCGATTGGCCAATGAAAACACGCCAAGCATTGGCGGGACAGGAATGTTTACCAGGTACGGCTCTCTCTATATAATAGTGCGCGGGGCTTCCGGCAGGTCGTACGTACAGGCGCCTTTTTTGATGTTGAACCTGAGTTGTAAAATGTGGCCAGAGGGAAACCGCCGAGAGCCCGAAACACATAAAAGGTTCCATGTACAGCAGAGCAAGCACAGGGAGTATTGCAGCGATCGTGTTGCGCCATCGTTGGAACCTTTTTTTTGTGTATGTGGGCGGGCAACATCATCGTGATTCCGTCCCCTCTATAATTTTGGGGCGTTTTTTGTCTTCGTCCGTGGCGTGTTCGATTTTAACGACATTCCTTGTCGAGGGAAGACAGGAGCAAGATGGTGGTAGGTGTTCGCCTGCAATCGTCCTGCAGCCTTGTTTCTTGTGCGTGCACATGGACCCAGTAGTGCAGGGTATATTCTGCGCGTCCAGCGGGCGGCGTCCGTCCGTAGTAGTACTAAAGGTTGTTTCTGTTCGTCTCGGCAACACTACTACTGCTGCTGTATGTGTTGTAGTAGTAGCGCAAACCGTCGAATCGATACATGTCTGCTCTTGCCAAGGCACGAAGACATGGATAGGACGAAAACTTACTTGAGGGTTGTTGAACGTGTGGTCGAAAGATGTTCATGTAGTGTCTGTCGATGGGATAATACCTGCTGTACTGCAGAATCATTGACGGGAAATCTATCTCACTTTGTTTTGAGGTGATGTCGGCGATACGACGGTACATATCTCGGTGTCGTTGAGCAACCAATTCACTCTTCAGGCGAAGCCATAGGACCCTTGCGCTCCTGTGGTGTGTGACTTTCGATACCTGCACTTATGAAAGGCCATACCTTTTACTCAAGAACAATAAAGTGTACTAAAATACGATGATGTCTTGTGGCAGAGATGTAAGGGCCCCATATCCCCAGCGTCTCTGTCGAGAACGATTGACTCCCTCAAACGGTAAACGTAGTGATGCAGCGAATTTGAGGCCTAAACATGCATGCACACATACGACGTACCATGTGCTGTTGCGTACAATCGTCTCTCTACATTATTTCCACACGACGAATCATGTCGCAACTTCTCCTTTCGCTGGAAGGCGGAAGCTGCTTGCGAAAATGTAGAAGGGGGTGAAAACACGAGCACGACAAATTGTGTACCGATTTAGATAGCGCGGACGGGAGCTCTGCAGCTTGTTACTCAACATTATTTAATAATTTACCCTGAAAATTTCAATAATGGACAGTAGATCCATTTCCCCTTCATGCCACATAGACGCAACTATCGACCGAAAATCACGATGATTCCGCAGCACGCAGGTATCACCGACAGATTCGACGAACACTGCGACCGTTAGTTCAAAAAAAATCAGCCATTTGCTGCTGTGTATCACTAACCGCATCGAGTACACTACTTGAAGATATGGCTACAGTAGTACGCCGATATTCCTACAGTGTTTCACGCCTGCACTGCAGCCAAGCGAGGACAACCGCAGGCAAACCACCGTCCGAACAACACTCTTGCCACAACCCAAAACCCCAACGCCGAACTACTGCACCCGCCCGTGGTGCCAAACACAAATCAATCACCGTCGGGCTGTTTTGGTGTACGTACACAACAACACGAGACACAGATCACAACTGATTCGCACGTCGGACTCGTATCAACACTTCCTCCATTCAGCGTTTATCTACACTCTCTCGCAGGCCGCGGGTGCAGGATGGACCGAATTATACAACTGGACCACAAATCAGACGGACAGCCGCAGCAGCAGAAGCAGCGCACAACACGTATAAGCACCTATCTACGCTCTGGATGTGAAGGCCTCGAACAACAATCAATCCACGTGGTAGCTCTTCGATACGTTCCTCTACCAGAGACCCAACGAACATCGTCGACTCAAACTTATCCCCCACAAACAATCGGTCCCCGTTGGGTGGGCGCGCAAGCCACAATCACCGTTTAGGTTCTTTACTGGCTGCTCGCACAGGGCGATGGGAGCTCCACGCAATTTTTCAGGCGTGCCATCAAGCCGCCAAGCTAACAAAAACAGGGAGCGACAACACGAGAACAAAGAACGTTCCAGGTTCTAAACCTTAAAAAACGGCAAAAAAATAATCAAACCAAAACGCTCTCTCTCTCTTCCAACCCACATCTTGCACTACATCTGGACGATGACAAGGTCACGACACACAAGTACAGAAATACAAGCAAATATGTATGGAAAATCTATGCAAACGGGGTATCCAGGTTCTCATCTACTGTACGAAAAAGCCGTGTTGGTGGTAAACCTCCAGGACTCCCTTCTTCCCACCAAGGTACGCGCCTCAATGTATCCCACCCGTGCTCCACGACCAGCTCCTCCCCCCGTCCCCGTCCCCCAAACCTCACACACAGGCACGCTGCTGTACCGTAAAACAAAGACATCCAACTTGTAGGCATCTCGAACCTACAACTAAAGAGTCGCGTCCGCCGTGTGTGGTCACGGCCATGCGAGCGGAACAACCGACCGGATGCGATTTACCGAAACAAAGATTGTTGGTGCCGTCTTGCTCCCCTTCTCCCCCCTCTCCAAAACATCATGGTCCAACACCACCGAGAGGTTCAGGGCCTACTTTTTCCCAGGGTTTACCGCCCCCCCCCCTTCCCCCCTCCTGCGCACGTAGGCGTGTTATCCCAATTCCCTAGTGGAAAACCGATCAGGGTTTCCAATCAACATTGGCGTGCGTCTTTCCCCCCCCGGCCCCGTGCCAGCCTTGCCAACATCTCCCATGACCTCTACAGTCGACATGTCGACAATACTCGTAGCCCTTCTTCCATTCGAGCTGTTGTGGGCGGAAGCTACGACCTCGCCGAGAACTGCGTCGTCTATCTTCTATTCTTTGTTGCACTGTAGACGATACTCCCAACGCTGCCACATACTGATATGTAGATTTCATGCACTCCCACTACACCTGCGAAGCAAGGATGCATACTCAAAACGTTTCGCACCGCCATTTCATGCTGGTCAAGCACGTATACACACACATGACCCCTTGTTCATCCCACCGAAATCGAACAGACAAAAAGAACACCACCGATTTTGCTTTTTACACGGCGTTGTCGCCCGTGAACTCGACCCCCTCCCCGCCACCGCTGCCTCCTCCAACTCTGGCAGCATTGACACTTGTACCGGCCCCACCAACAGTAGAGATGCTCCTAGAACGATCATCGGGGGGCGTGGCATGGCGGAGGTCCGTCTTGCACAGCGGACAGCTAGGGAGTTTAGCCCGGTCCAACCACTCGTCGATGCACTGATGATGGCCATTGGGTTGGATTTTAGATGCCCGGGGGTAAAACGAAGGGTTGGGAGGGGCGGCGGGAAGGAGGGAGGGTTCAGCTTGGTGCCCGGAGAGTGGGTTCATGTGTAAACGTTCTTGGCGCTTTCCTCCCGCCGAAAGCGTGCACACCACGCTGTCGTACAAAATCTGTCACGGGAACTGCTTAGATGTAGGGATAGAGCTAATGATAGATTTCGCAATACAAACTGTACACAAACTTGCACATATTTACGGTACGACTGTCATTAGAGTCACCCCGCTGCCCCCCCAACCGATTGCATACTTGATCCACACTCGACTGACTGTCGCGTGCCCCCTCCCCCCGACACCCACGACAACAGCAAGTCCGTGCGGTTCGAAAAACGACCTTGGATCGCTTCGCGCGATCCCCGCCTTAGTTGACTACTTCGTAGTTGAAATTACACGAAGTATTAGCGTTAAGACACACACAAACATTGCAATCGCACTGAGACTGGCGTTTTTTCATTTGTCAGCCGGTTAGCTCGGTCGATGCTAGAAAAAAATGGACACAAATCCATACACGCGCGCGCAGATGAATTTTTCATACCTGTGCGTGGTATACGTGCCGGCACGGCAGGCGGGCCAACCGGTCTCCGGGTTCGTAGTCGCCAAAGCACACGATGCACGCTTGGCCCGTCGACCACTCTCCCGAGTCGGATTGTGCCCTGGTCGGGTCGTCCTCCCCGGTCGCCGGCTTTGCATCTGTTGACGCTTGTTCTTCTGCTGCATCTGTTTGAAGAAACGTGCGCCCCTTCCCTTCCCGACCCTCGCTGCTTGCCTTCTGATGGAGTCCACTTCATGAGGTGGTTGCAGGTTGTCCCATCCTTCTTCTTCACCAAACACACCACGTTCTTGTCGTTGATGGAAGGGGTGAACCTACTCATAACCTGCCAACACCAAGCTGTCAACCTCCTTTTGCCATACTGAGGCTCCATGAGTGTGACCGAAATTGACTGGCCGCGGCCCGCATTTACCATGGTGCGAGACTCGCTTGAGGATTGCAGCTCTGGTTCCCTCGTAGCCACCGATTCCACATCCACAGAATCGCTCCCGTCCACAGAATCACCGGCAGCACGCGCCACCGACAAAGCAGCAGACCCATCTCCTACACTACTAGTAGCACCGGGATTCCCCTCTAACGCGCTCATTGCTCTGCTGGGCGCTGGGGCAAGTGCTGCGTGTGTGATGGGTGTGTTCGAACAGCTGACGATCGGCGACAGATGAAAGAGGTTCCGCCGAAAAGGAACAAGGCAGAACCAAAAA